GTGGTCTAATTTCCTATTAATAATTTTGAGGGAGGTTTGATTTTTTGTCTCTAGAAGTTCTGTTTGATTCTTTTTTTTTTTTTTTTTTATCATGCCTATCCTTCATGGAGTTCCTCCTTCAAGTCATGGAGTGATTTTCTTATGTCCTGAAGTTGTCTGTTCTCTTGTGTCTCATCAAGTTTAGTTACAATAAATACTTCAACTTCTTTTTCTGACATTTCAGTGATTTCCTCTGTTTTTTGTTGTTGTTTTGTTTTTTCATTGTTCCCTTGGGGGAAGTATTTCCTGGTTTTCTGATAGTTAAGGCTCTGCTGTGATTTTTAGTCATTTGGTGATATATTCACTTCTTGCTAATTCTTTGGAGTAGATTTCTGTAGCTTTGTGTTTATGTGTTCTCGTTTTTTGTGAATTGGCTCTGTGCCAATTCCCCTCTTCTATTGTGGGTGGCAATGTGGTATCCACAGTGGAAATATTGGTTTCAAATTTATGAAGAGGAGTTTCTCTTTTTTTGTTGGATTCAGTGATGGGAGAAGATTCCTCCAGGACCTCACAGTGTTCACATGTTCAGATCCTATATACCTAGAGCTCCAGTCCCAGTGTGACTGGGAGCTCAGCAGAAAATTGAGAACATAAGGTGATAACAAAAATGCAAGCAGCTGGAGAACAATTGCCAAGAAGGCCTGTTTTCTCTCTCTCCTTTCTAACTCTGCAATTGCAAGATGAGGAGTCTAAATCAGCCCCATATCTTACACCCTAGACTGGGCTGGGGGCTTTGAGTAAAGAATGGATGCTAAAAGCCTATTTTCCCTCTGTTCCTTCTAACTCTGTAACTGCAGAATTGGGGGTGGGGATGTTGAGGCCAAATCCACCTCACCTCCTGCACCCTAGGCTGGACAGTGGGGTTCAAGGTGGAGAATGGCTATGGAAAGCAGTGTTAATTCTTCTTTAAAAATTTGGTAAAATTCAGAAGTGAAACCATGGAGCAAAGTGAAGCTTTCCCTTGTTAGGAGGCTATTACTTATTCAGTCTCATATCTTGTTATCAGTCTGTTTACGTTTGCTATTTCTTCTGGTTCAATCTAGATCTGTTGTATGTTTCCAGACATTTGTCCATCTCATGTTGGTTTTCCAGCTTTTCAGCATATAGTCACTTGCTGTAGTATCTCATAATTTTCTGTATTTCTCTGATACTTGTTCAAATATCACCTGTTCCATTACTGATTTTATTTCTGTTTCCTTTTGCTGCTATTGGTTGGTCTAGCTAATAGCTTATCGATTATTTTCTAGTACTTTAGGGTTTTTTCCAGTTTCTTGAGATCTGTCATTAAGTTATTTAGTTGTCATCTTCCTATTTTTCTCTTGTGAACATTAACTTCTCTATAAGCTTCTCTCTTTGGATTGATTTTGCTTCATCTCAAAGATTATAGAAAGTTGTATCTTGGTTATCGTTAGCATCAAGAAATTTTTAAATGTCAGGCTTACTTTCTTCAGTAGTTTTGAAGTTGTTCAGGAATAAATTGTTTAGTTTCCATGTATTTTCAAAGGCTCTTTTTGCTGTTGATTTCATGTTAATTTCATTGTGGTCAGAAAAAATGTGTGAATACTTGTCTGACTTTAGGAGTCAAACTCTGAGTAGGATGAATATACTGAAAAGTAGCACCTAGCTGATGTTATAGAGCTTACTGTGGTCATTAAATAGGTATTTTTTAACTATATTTTTTTATTTCAAGAAATCAATTTTAGCTTTAATAAATCAAAGAAATGCTAAGGAACTTTGATTAAAACTTAAAGCCAGGAAACAGGTTGGGATTCTGTTCAAACAGTAGGTACATGAACCTATCGGCAGCTCAAGACAGGACAAAAATCCTTAAAACTCGGAAAACAAAGCCTAGAAGAAAATCAGCAATGCTTTAGTCAACAGTCATAAAATTCTATTTCACCACTTCAGTCTCATGTACTTCATCTGTCTTCTGTTGGTTTGATCTTTCCGATTAAATTCTGGGATATATTAACTTGTCCCTATGATTAAGATGGCCATTTTTTTAGTTTTTGAACTGTTATTTTGTGTGTCTCTATTTACTTTTCCTGATACAGCACTCCCTTTAGAACTTCATAGAGAGCTGGTCTAGTGTTGATAAATTCTTTCAGGCTTTGTGTATCTGAGAATGCTCTTGTCTTTTCTACCCATATGAAGGATAATCTTGCCAGGTACAGTATTCTTGGTTGAAATTGCTTTTCCTTAACACTTTGAATATATCGTCCCATTTTTTTCTTGCTCGCATTATTTCTGATGAGCGGCCCACTGTCACCCTGTTAGTATCTTTTGTATCTAACTTGACGTTTCTCTCTTGCCAATCTTAGTATCTTGTCTTTGTGGTTTTGGTCAATGTGGCTATAATGTGTCTTGGAGAAGATGATCTTGGGTTGATTCTGTTTGGGGTCTTTTTTCTTGGGACTGGATCTTTGAATGCCTCTCTGCGTTTGGAAAGTTTTCTTTCAGGATTTCATAGAATAGATTATCAATGCCCTTATGGGTCTCTTCCCCTTCTGGGATACCAATTATCTGGATGTTTGATGGTATCTAGTATTTCTTGTATATTATTCTCATTTGGGGGAGGGGAGGCAATTTTCTCAGTCTTGTTGGTGGATTTTTCTAACCTTTAATACTGTATCATGTCCTTCTTTGTCTATTTTTATAGTTTTTAATCTTGAAATCTATTTTGTCTGATATCCATGTCATGACTCTTGCCTTTTTTTGGTTTCTGTTTGTATGAAATGACTTTTTCCAGCCTTTCACTTTGGATTTATATATGTCTTGTTCAGTGAAATGTGGGATAATGGGACACAGCAGTATGCCAGGCTCTGTTCAATATCTCAGGCCAAATGATATGGCAACAGGGACCTAGGACACAGGTATAGCTTGGCCCTTGAGGGCAATCAGCAGTACATCAGTGGCTACTCCCTAGGAGGCAAAGTGCCTCAGCAGCTCAGACTCTTGGGTGCTAATCCAGTTCCCAGAGAAACAGGATTCTGTAGTTGTTTGGCCTAAGGGTAGGGTGTGCCAGGCCCAGCCAATGCTCTCTTTC